AAGCATGAAAAGGAGTGCTCTAGAAACCTTTGGCTCCTATAGTACTTTAACTGCTCTTTGGACGCTTGAAATGAAAAAAAATTACAAAAATTTAAATGATTTTTCAAGTGATTAAAAAACTTTTTGATTTGATATCACAAACAAGGGTTTATTTCCGAAGCAAGGAAAAAAAAAGAAGAAAAAAACAAAAAAATTGGACGACCTTGATTTTTTCCTAAATGTTCTTAATGAATAACACTTTTGAAAATTAACTTTATCATCACGGCCTTCTGTTTGACTTTATAGAACTTTCTACATTTGTACATGGCAATTCTATTCTTTTCGAGGCACCTGCAGCTATCATATAAGTTGTATTGATTATTATCATTTTTTAATAAGAATTTTATCACTATACAGTTTTAACAAACTAAATGATCCAGGCTTACCTAGAAGTTTCCATTTTGGTATAAAATGTCCAATTGATAGAACCAAGCCTGGAAATTTCTTCAAATTTATCCTAGTTTAGTGCAAAAATCAATGAAAGTTACAGAAAGCATGTAGTTTCCACAGGATACTAAAATTTCGATACCAAATAAAAAAACAACCAACAAAAATTAAAACTCTAGAGTCCATTTCTATGGGCACTTCAGATTATAAATTTAAATTCTAAGAGAAGATGCTTTTTGGTTCGGCCCTCATTTTTGGGGTTCAATCAATCAGAAGGCCGCACTATTCTCCAACAAATAGATTAAGTTATCAATTAAAGCTAAAACCTTTAAGCTCGTGTCATATAAAAAAAATTTGACCTGCAATATTAACCTGGTTAAATTTAATGTCAAAATCAAATCGCATTTGTATCCAGAGAAATTTAAATATCTAGCACACAATTCTTATGTATATAGATTTCTCACACCAAAATTTTCATATTTATATATATAGCATTTCAATGCTTTAAATTTAAGTATGGACATGTATTTCACTTTTAAAAAGTGATAATAGTGCTATTTTTGATGTGATATCAAAGTTTTGAGTGCTATGTGGGTAAATATGAAAGTTTGGGTGTGAGATATGTAAATACATAAGAATTGTGTGCTATGCATGTAAATGCCCCTTATATCTATTACCATTTTTTAAAACTATAAAGAGTTGTTTCAGCTTCTTAGGCTATAATTTAGGGCTATGAAAATAATTGAAGGTGAAATAGAATGATTAAATGAAATGAGGAATATTAGTTACAAAGTTTCTTTCACCAAAAACTAGAATGTTCGGCAAAAGTGTTCATTAATACCATGAAAGGATATGAATGCAAGTTTTCTCAATCATCTCATCCTCAACGATGCGAGTCAAAATAAGGATGGCGCAGAGCTTCATCAACACTAAAACGATCCTCCTGAAAAGTAACAAGAAACATTTATTTAAAAAGCAATAATTATAATGTAAAGCATTAAATTTGAAAAACATTAGCAAATTCATGGAAGTATTAAGGTAGGAACATGAATAATGTCCACTTTCTACCATGTTTGAAAACATAATTATTTTAACTGAAGTTGTTATTTTGTAAAAAGAAGGATTTATAATCTCACTCAATTTGAAAGTGGGAAAATATGACTCCGAGATAAGTTAACAATAGATATTTGTAATTTAGAGCAAGTAGCTTGATGCAGAGCTTCCACAAGTAGATGCAGAACTTCCAGCACTAACGCGGGACTCCAGCGTTTGAACCCGACCGGTCTATTGAAGGCCGGTCCAGAGGAATCCCGGGCTGAGCGGCCCGAGCGGCCCAAGCGAGACTCCTGATGGGGCGAGCGGCCTCCCGCTCCCCTCTCCTCCTCCCTTCTCTACTTCTTTGTATGGGAAGATTTTAATAGCTATTTATGTATCTTTCTTGCCTCTCCACCCCTTGCTTTTGTGCGGGAGTTTCCATCTTTATTTATTTCCTTTCTTCTTCATGTAAGAGTCTATTTATTTGCTATTTTTAGAGTTTAGAGGAAGCTTTTGCTGTGTTGATTTCAAATTCCTGTGTGAAGTCCTTTTCCCTTTTGTGGGTTGTATTCGAGGAGATTGGTACTCCGGTTGTATCCTCTTCCTCCTTCCCAATAGTCGCCATTCACTCCTAATCCCCTTCCCCAAACTCCGCCGCCCCATCTCCTGCATTCACCTTGCTTTCCAATACTTTCTAGCCACCCCTCCGCCTGCTGTCAGTCCCCTACAACCCTCCATACCTGCTGTCCCTACAATTCTGCATCTTCCCCTCACCGCCATCAACATTCCTTGGCTGCCACCATTGCCAACCATCCCAATCCACCTCGTTGACCTCCACCGCCCTTGGAACACACCTTAGAGGTGTTGCTTGTGTCGTGTATGTCGGTGTTGTTAACTTCTATTACATTGTGTTATAAACTTATTTCTCTATTGATAAAAGTGTGCTATTGTGTTTCTACTATTTTCCTTACTAGTTCCGACATAATAGCCTTTTAAAGAAAATAAGTCTCTTCACAACAAGCGCCAGACAAAGTGCAAGCAAATTATAAGAAGTTAGTCTCTGAAGCTCCCTTCACAATAACTCCATTGTTTAACTGCCTCTCTCATCACCAACAGAAGACCCACAAAAAATAAGCCACATTAGAGAAAATTGGGGCTACTCTTAAAGATGTTTAAAAAATGAAACTTGTCAATTGAAGGCAAACATTCTTTTATTGAATGATGGGTCTTGTAATAATTATAGGATATCATTCAAGGAGCTCCAATGCTTGTGTCCAAATTATTAATGAGATATTGAACATCAAATAAGGAGCCAACCAATCGATATGAAGTCCTTTTATTCCAAGTGAGAAGCTTGAAGAAGAGCATGTTAAACTGCACCAACCTCATTTTTCAAATTTTTAATATTTCTTTTCCTCTACTCTTCGACCAATGGTTTAAAATTATGCAATATGAAGCCCGCTTCAATATTTTATGAAAAATTTGCAATGAGACTTTACCTCACAAAATGTGAAACCTGTCTTAAGGCACAACTTGTCTTATTTATAGTGAGGCATACATAATTACATCTTGGAATTTCCTTAAAATAAAAATAAGTAAGATAACCCTAATAAGCATTCCTTCCTAAAATTATACATAATCGAGGATTTAATTGAAATCGTCACAAACAAAATAATCATTATTTTAAAATCTAATGAATATTTTTATCAATTAATATTGATTAAGCAAGATAAAAATGAGATTTAACATAAGGTGGAATGAGGGAACATGGATATCATTGAGAGTGAGTTGAAGGAGAAAGTAAATCATCATATTGATGATTCTAATGCTCATTAATGATTGAGTATATGCGACTTTGAATTTTTAAATTCTTACCTTAGTGGCTTGTTATGTTTTTATATTGATGGATAATAGTCAGAGTAGAAAATAGACTAATTGAATTGAACTTAGTTTGAATTGTTATGTTATTGTATCTTACTATGATGTTTATTATCAAACTTCCTTTGACTTAAAGATTACAATAGGCCCTTCTCTCGCCAAACATACTATGTCAATGGCTTTCCGATGAAAATGCTAAATGATCTCCCCATTTTGACACTTCCGAGCAACTTTCTATTGCAAATATTTGGTTGGCTATTCCTACGTTTTGTTTACTACAATCAATTAATTTTATAATTGCCGAGATCTATAATTGGCAAACATTTGCAAATAAACGTCGCTATCACCCATCTTTCCAGGCCTTTCGTAACCAGATCCCTAAGGAAATAGATGTTACCACTACTATTCATTTTGAAGTGTTGATTGGCACGTTTCTTGTCCTTACAACCATAAGGTTGAACTTCAAAGCATCCCTCAATATTACTTTTTGGTAAAATAATTAACTACATTCACTTTAATTGCTTCAAGACCCATCCAAATTTAAGAAAATCAAATGTTCAAAATCATAAAGTTCATTCAAGTGGTAATACCACCCCTTCTCATTCAATGATAGATACTACATCAAAAGAGGTTTGTTCTCAAAATCTAAGATCAATTAATCTTCTTGAAGCTACATCAACCATGTCTGCCACTACTATTCCTTCGCTCAAATGTTTCTCTCTCATATTAATAAAGAAACAAAAGCTCATAATTTACTAACTGCTACCGACACTGACGGAAGCATCATGAGTGGTGACACACCGGTGAATAGAAGGTTCATATCCTATTTACTAGATAAGGCTATAAAAAAAATTTTGTCACCCTTTGTTTTCACCAAGTTAGGTAGGCAAATTGAGCTTGTAGTCCAAATTTTACTCCATAAGGTTTTTATTTTACCCTATGTATGCTTTTCTTAAGCAATTCTTATTTTTCATCTTTTATGTACTATCATTTGCTTGTCATAATATTTTGCTTTAAAAACAAATTAGCAAAAGGCTGGTATAGTTTCCAAGCATACGTCCAAGGACAGATTTAGCTTTAGAAATCAGGTTATTGATACAATGCATTATGTGAAGCATCATTTCAGATGTAGTCACTAAACGCTTCTTTGTGAAAGGAAAAAAAAAAAGGAAAAAAGGCAGTAAATCATTTTTTACAGGGTCATCATCACTCACGCCATAAAATGAAAGGTTTATCAAAATTTGTAGGACGTAAATGGTTACTAGCAGCAAGACTTAGTTTCAATAATAGTGTAACATAAAAAGAATGCAGATAAATAAAGAGAAAATACGAGGCCGATTAACTTAGATAATGAAAAAATCAGAGAGCTTACGGGATGCCATACTAAGAGTTGGCGAACTAATCTCAATGCCCAAATATCCGGAAACCTGCATAGCATTAAGAAACACATTTTGTAAAAGCTTATGAAAAAAGTTTAGTTCCATGCATACAAGTGCCCATAATAGAGATAAATAATGAAACAAGACTAACCCAAGTTTAAGAGGATCTCTATTCTTGACTTGATTTGAGAAAGATTCCTCAGAACATTTCCAAGAAGCTGGCCAAACACCACCCTTATTTGCACGCATGAGCAACATTCATCAATACAAGTAACAATGTTCCATAATAAAAAAATAAAAAAAATTAAAAAAAAAAAAATCCCACAAACAATGACTTGTGAACTTTGCCGAGAAGAAGAAACTATGAATATCAATCAATAAAATCAGATGCAAGAACATTATTAAATAGAAAGAAAAGATTAGAAATTACATATTCTACTGCTATATGATAATGGACAGAAGAAGTCATACCATTCACATCCTTTATCCAACAAAATTAGTTTGGCTATAGAGTTAGACTTGGTGCATTTATATGAAAATGACATCGGCAGCGACAACGGGCTCTGCTAGGATTTCGGCTGATGGAGATTCCTGGCAGTGATTTCCTTGTTTTCTCACTTCTTCACAACTTTCTCGACCCGCTCGCTCGCAGACGTCCTTGTCGTCGACGCTTGCTAGCGTCGTCTCTTAATTGATGACGTATCCTGCTTTTCGACGATGTCTGCTGTCGCGGCTCGCGTCCTGCACGATGACACCTCTTTCGCAGCTTCCAGACGACGCAACTTCGCTATCAGACGACGAAATTTCGCATTTCTTTCCAGACGACGTCCTCGTTTGCCGACGCCTCCTTCGCACTTCTCATTTCCAGACGACATCTTCGTTTCCTACCCGACAGACCATCTTGTCGGCGGAGATGGCATCGACTATCCATTCCTATGCCACTGCAGTTGTCGGCGGCCACTCTTGCAATGTTTCACAATCATTTCACGAGGCTCTTGAAGGTGGTGACGATCACACCTTCATTAAAAAAACTGGGAAAAAATGGGAAGTCTGCTCTTATTCTCATAGAGGTTGAAACCAGTACTCTCGCATCTTCGTGGCGTTTTGCTTTAGTAAGAAAATTTCTTTATGGTCACCCAAAACTTAAGATCATTCGAAAAGAACTTGATGCTATGAAGCTGGTAGGCAGTTGAAATATTGATTTACTTAACGATCGACACATACTGATTCAGTTGTCTCACGATGCCGATTACACTCGCATTTTTTTTCGGAAAGTTATCAAGATCAACAACCGTTATATGAAAATTTTGAAGTGGACTATTGATTTTGATCCAAAAGCGGAGTCTCCATCATTTGTTTGGATAAAGTCTCCGAGGTTAAAATTACATCTGTTCAACTTGGAAATCCTCTATTCCTTAGCAACTGCTTACGGTAAGTCTCTCAAGATTAATAGTCCTACGTTTGCTGTCTCCAGACCCTCTGTGGCTCGTGTGTTTGTTGAGAGGGATATCACTCAACCAGCTCCCGATGAGATATAGATTGGAACCACTCACAACGGGTATTGACAAAATGTTGAAATAGAACCACACCCGCCTTATTGCTCTCATTGCAGTATGTTTGACCACAACTCTACTATTTGCTATCGTTTGCATCCTCATCTAAGACTGGATATCGCTAAAGATCAGCCATCTATCATCCCTGTTGAGAAGATGCAACCCGATTCTCTTTCCAACACCGCAATTCCTGACGAAGAATACCATACTATAACTACATATCCAGTGGTGCTTATACCACCCACTGTTATTGAATAAGACTCACTTAAAAGCCAAGACACACGAGAGTGCTCCTTTGATTCAGTAACAGATCAGCCGGTACAACTTATAGTTGCTTCTAATGTTCAACAACTTGCACATCTTCAACATACTTTAGATCAAGATCAGGTGAGCCAATCTTCGGATGAGGAATGACAGTTCTATTCCAGGAGGAAGAAGAAGAATGGAGGTCGACTCTAGCTCGGGAACATATTGGATGACATATTGGTTATTACTGGCAATGACAATCATTTTACCAAATTATTAGTTTGCTCCTTCCCTAGAACTAGAGGCAAAGGCAATACCAAATTGGGTCACTCTCTAGCCACCTGATATTCTGTATTTCGACACTTCTAGCCACCTGATATTTTGTATTTCGACACTTTTAAGCTTTATCTTTAAGTTTCTAATGTACTTTTCTGTATTTTCTAGTTTTGGAACCATTTGTGGTTATTGCGTGGGCAGGGTGTCATGCTTGGGCCCTCCCACACATTCTATATGTATCTTTCTTTCTAGTTAAAATATTAGCCTTTTTGGGCTTTCTAAAAAAAAAAAAGAGTTAAGACTTGGTGTAGATTACACCTAGCTTCTTCTAGATTGGGCCACGTAATACTAGGCATCAATGCTTATCAAAATATACTAACTAGGTGAAATAATATCAAAATGAAACCTAAAATAGGCTTAATACCTTAGGCAGCTAGCTCTGAGTGAGAACAAACAAAAAAGAAGAGGATTCGTAAAGAAGACTTCAGACACATGCGATAGAGTTGACGTGATTTGTTAAATACACTTACAATTTATATATCCCTTATATTAAAAAAATAGACATCCGCGAAGACATTGGACACATAAATTGCATCCTCCTTGCTTGCAGTTTTGCACTTGGCCGAGCTCACACTAGCTTTCTCGTGCATAGTGCTAAACACGGGAGATGTGCTCTCTAAACTACTCTCTCTGTTTCATTCAAATATCTGTAGGGTTGTACAAAATTCCAGCCTTCCGCATATAACACACGAATTACGCACAAATGACATTATTCGTTTCATGCCATTTGTGGTTATTGATTTCCTACAGATAGTGGTATGAAATCGTCTAGCATACCAAAGATTTCACCTTTCCTGGTAGCTTGCTTCAAGCAGGAGGGCTGGAACAGAAGCGGTGAAGGTGGGGGGTTGGAGCAGCAGCGATAGCAAAGGTGGAGGGCAGGTAGCGGCGGCAAAGGTGAAAGCTGGAACGGTAGCGGCAGCAAACGTGAAGGCTGGAACAGTGGGAAAACTGCAGGAAACAGCTGGAACAGAGGGAAACCTGCAGGAAGCAAGCTACCGGCGGCTGTTCTAGGCGGCTACAGCAAGAATGTGCTATGGGGAGTGAAGTGGGAAAGATGGGGAAGGGTAGAGGGAAGGATAATCACGATATTAAGAGCAAAATATAGCTGAAACACTTCATACCAATAGATAAAGCCCAAGACAGGAAATTAAGACACCAGCAGCTATCACGAACAGCACCTGACCAAAAACTAAACCGAGAAAAACAAAATCACAACTATATAACTCAAGGATAACTAGGAGTGGGCTCCCACTAACAAGGAGGCGGTAATCCCACGCAAATGAGGGTTGGTTGGTCGGCCCTCGGGCTACGGTTCTAAACTGGTCCCAGCCAACCTTAATGCCTCCCTTCTGGTCTAGAAGCAGGAGATGCTTGCGGCCTGTCCAGCAGCAACAGACGCCCACATCAGTCTCCCGTGGTTGGTGGTGCTTCGACCTCATCCGTCGAAGATTTCTCTTATATTATGAAATCAGATCAAACATGTTGAAAGCAGCAAAAATGTTGTAATCTCGCGATAAGTCAATGATGTAAGCATTGTCATTCTAAAGCACATCATGATAGAATAAGCATTCAATCTCTTTTAGCACAACTTAAGCTAGAGCTGCATATAACCATAGATTCTCACAAAGTAACTCTCAAGTCATTAAGTAACTTGATTTTTTCACTCCTCTTACTTGATTGGGCGCACCTGATAAACAAAATTATATGGAAGAACTAACACGAGAATGAAATCTTTGGTATGCTAGACGATTCTCAATAGCAACCACTAAGAAGGGACTACTTATTTGAAAGGATCTGGATCCCATTTTAAGATGTTTCCCACAAAACTCCAAAAGCAATTTCCAATACTGTGATTCATCCCCCATGTCCGTTCATCTGTCAGGGGATATACTAATTTCTTCTTTTATAAAAAAAAATATTGGGTGTATTTTTAGATGCTTTATAGATATATTCAAATGAATTATTTTGGATTACTTCCACCACATTTACCAGATTGATTTTATTGGACATACGTAAATTGCGATAATGTGTTATCTTGAGTAAATTTAGATAATTAAGACTCAGTTTGGAGCAGCTGCAGCTTTTTAGCTTCCAGCTACAGCTACGCTGCCCCAGGAAGTTGCTGTGGGGAAGCTGACTGCATGTTTGGGGCATCTATGTTAAAAAAAACTGTGAGACAATTGTTTCTGTAAAAATGATCATTCTGGCCTTGTTTTGTAATATTGTGCGTAACAGAATAGTGATAGACACAAATTTAATACTTTTAAGGCAAAAATTCACTTAAAAACAATACAGAACTACAAATACACACTTCTCTTCATAGTGAGCATCAAGAGTGCAAAAAAAAGTCTAAAATTATTGTGTTAATGCTCGAGCTTACCTACCAGTGGATGTGGAAAGTTGATACTGGCATTCCGTGTTATAAACCTAAAAACTCGACTGTCAGGTGCTCTCCCATCCTAACCGACCATTATAAAAGTGAAACACATGTTAAAGTTGCAAACGACCATGACATTTTGGGTCAGGCTACCGCAACAACCAATGAATGCAATTTTATCATTATTCGACATTCGTGCGTCAATATGTGTTCCATCAATTGCGTTGATGCAATCTTGTGTAAGCGAAAGTTATGTTCAACAAAACATTGCATTGTAAAAAAAAAAACAACTCAACTGCTTTCGAGACATTGCCTTGAAGAAGAGCATATATCACACATCGTGTGATATCTCTGCGGGTGTCCGCTCGAACTTAGGATCTGATGGTTTGATGGCATGTGAGTGAAGACTAACAAGTGCGCTCAATCCAATTGAGAAGTACCTGCTAATTGTCTCGGATGAGTGTTGAAAACGCTCTATTGCCCCTCGCATAGATTCATTCTGAGATAGTATGTACAATGTTATTGCAAACATCTCACGTGAAGTGGTCCTGGATGAACCATGAAGTCCGTGAGCTCCTACAAGTTCCTCAAGAATATCGATAAATACTTCTTGGCTCATTTGAAATACATTACTAAATCTTGTTGGGTGCCCCACTAGCAACTCCCCAACCCATTTATCAACGATATATGAAGATTCATACACAACGATGTACGAGTTGTAGTACTCGTAGATCAAGCATATGACAGTAATCAACATCCCTCTCCGCCTTCTTCTGTGTGCATCTATGTTGATCGACATCTGTCGTCTTCTACTTGCATCCATGAGGGTCGATATCTTTCGGTCTTAACCATATATAGTAATGAGTTACTAAAACGTAAAATTTTGAGTAATACCAAAAGGAAGACGGTTGCATATAATAACGTGAATATAAAAGAGTTCTGAAGTACAACAAAAAATTAAAAGAAAATGCACAATAAATGTTCTTGTTGCATTGAATATCTCAAATATTTGAGCGATCGTGAAAACGTTGGAGATAAGACATTCTGCGCCCTGCTGACATCTTCATAAAGATATCTCTACGGACCGGGTCCTCAATCAATTCTGTTGCAAACAGATACAATGCTTCGTCCTCATAAATTTCGAGTGAATCACTCAGAATTTGTAGCGCCTCCTCTTAGTGGTTGAATAAGAAGCCTGACATTCTGATTTGTAAGAAGATACCAGTTGTGAGAGTTCGTTTCCAAGGAAACCAACACCAATTTTTTTTCTATTGTCATCCCTTGGCCGCTTGGAAGAGAAAGTTGTCTCATATTCATTCTGCTCCGGACTGGGGACATCAGTGGAATCACCTAAAGCTCAAGGGGTTCCAAGATTCATGGTATTGCCAACAAACTCTGCCTCGCTTGGGCAACATGCATAGTTTCTCGTTGTAACCACCCTGCCAAACATGCGGTCGAGCTTTTCCTCCAATTCTGCCTCAATTATGAAAATCTTAAATTACTTCGCTGCAGGAACCACCTACAAATAAATTAAGGAGAAACTAATTATTATACATTAGAGAGTGAAAAATTAACAAAAGATTAATAAAAATACTCACCGCAAGACTTTCAGTCCACCACTCCTCTGGTGCATCAATTATTTTGCTTCAACGAATCCCACCCCAATCCTGTTGAGCCGCATTTCAAGTCCTTCAAAATATTCCATTCTTTCTTAAGCTGATCCCATTTATTCTTTAATTGCATTCTGTCGTACTCTCTGCCTATAATTTCCTTGAAATTTTTGGTAATATTTTGCCACCCTTCCTTGTTGAAGAAGGTAGTTGGCTTGTTTCCCATTTCGATCTCTTTGAGGCAAATAACACAAAATATTATTTTCGTTTCTTTTTCCCACAAGGCCGGTGTAGCAATCTCTTTGGTCTTATTAGTCATTTTTTTACTACAATGAAACATAAAAATACAGCAATAGTAAAAAAAACAATGCCATAATAATACTCCGCAAAAAAGAGCTTCCCAACAACACTCTTATAGAGTATCAAGTTGTGTCTCCCTTCCAAACTTTACTAAGCATAATATTCTCCGCTACTGTATTTTATGAGCATGCTCAAACAAAACCAGAATTGCATATATTTCATAGCATTGATAACCGCATTTGTTTCAATGAAGTTGTGTCTCCCTTTCATACAGAAATTTCTTACTAAATGCCCTAGAGGGCTATCAAGATATATGCATACAATGACATGAAACACAATTTCCTGATGCCCATTCATACAATGTTTTCTTACTATATGCCCCAGAGGGGTATCAAGATATATGCATAAAATATTATGAAACAAACTATTCAGAGGCAATCTATTTGCACGAGGATGCTCAAACAGAGAAGAACTGCAGATGTTTCATAGCAGTGAGATGAACAATCGTGGCAACCAAGTTCTGATGCCCTTTCATACATTATTTTCTTATTACATACCCACACATTATTCATAGGCATAACAATTTGCAAGTCGGTTTGAGTGAGCATGCTCAAAAAACACAGCAAATACAAATGTTTCATATGAGTGAGAGTAATAATGGAGGCACTAAAGATTTGTTGCCCTTTCATACACAATTTGTTTATTATATGCCCAAGAGGGGTAGCACTATTTAAGCATAAAATGACATCAAACAAATAATGTCGAGGCTATCTGTTTTACTGCCTCATAAATGGGTGCGTGTGTCAGTGAAAAACAAATAGAAGAAGTACTGATGGTTCACAATAGTTAGAATAGCATAATCTAGAGAAGAAGTACAGATGTTTCATGTGAGTAAGAATCACAATGGAGGCAATGAAGTTCTGTTGCCCTTTCAAGCACAATTTTTTAATTATATGCCCCAGAGGGGTAGCACTATCTTAGCATAGAATGGCATGAAACAAATTATTCAGAGGTTATCTGTATTTACTGCCTCACATATGGATGCGTGTGTGTGAATAAACTAGAGAAGAAGTACAAATGTGTCATGTGAGTAAGAATCACAATGGAGGCACTGAAGTTCTGTTGCCCTTTCATACACAATTTTTTTTATTATATGCCCCAGAGGGGCAGTACTATGTTAGCATAGAATGAAATGAAACAAATTATTCAGAGGCTATCTGTTTTTACTGCCTCACATATGGGTGCGTGTGTGTGACTAAACTAGAGAAGAAGCACAGATGTGTCATGTGAGTAAGAATCAATCACAATGGAGGCAATGAAGTTCTGTTGCCCATTCATACACAATTTTTTTATTATATGCCCGAGAGGGGTAGCACTATCTAAGCATAGAATGACATGAAACAAATTATTCAGAGGCTATCTGTTTTTACTGCCTCACATTTGGGTGCGTGTGTGTAAATAAACTAGAGAAGAAGTACAAATGTGTCATGTGAGTAAGAATCACAATGGAGGTAATGAAGTTCTGTTGCCCTTTCATTATACACGCCCCAGTGGAGTATGAGTATCTAAGCATACTTTGCCATGGAACAAATTATTCAGAATATATCTATTTTACTGCTACCATTGCTATTAGAATAACTTCTCAAAGCATAATATTCTGCAATTCGATTTGCATGAGCATGGCCAAACATGACATCAACTACTGATGTTTCATAGCAGCGAGAATAAGAATGGTGGCAACCAAGTTATGTTGCCCTATCATACACAATTTTGTTATTATATGTCCTAGAGGGGTATCAGTATATAAGCATAGCATGGCATGGAACAAATTATTCAAAGGCAATCTACTTGACTGCCTCATTTATGCGTGTGTGTGCAATTGAAAAGAGGAGATTCTGTAAGCATAACAAGAATAGCTGAAGTTTCATAGGAGTGTCAATAAGAATGATGGCAAAAAAGTTCTGTTGCCCTATCATAAACAATATTCTTACCGTATTTCCCAAAGGGCTATCATTATATAAGCATAAAATGGCATGGATCAAATTATGCGGAGGCTATCTACTTTAACTGCCTCATGATGGGTGTGTGTGCCATTGAAAAAAAAAAGAACTTCTCTAAGCATAACATTTTACAATTCAGTTTGCATGAGCATGCTCTAACTGACAAGAACTCTTTATTCTTGTCTGAAGTGAGAATCACAATGGTGGCAACCACGTTCTGTTGCCCTATCATACACAATTTTCTTGCTATATGCCTCATAGAGGTAACGGTATATAAGCGTAGAATGACTTGGAGCACATTATTCAGAGGCTATCTACTTGATTACCTCATTTATGGGTCCCTGTATGTTATTGAAGCATAGACTTCATCCGACTTTTTGAAAGAAAAGGTTGTTTGCATCAACATTTAAAAAAAAGCGATGAGCTAGAGATGTCTTATGGAACTGAGGGCTAAGCATATCATTTGTATTTTGCTTGCAAGAACTTTCTCAAACAGAGATAAAGGATAAGAAACAGAAAAACTTCACCATGCAAATCCAAAATAAACGAGAGATTTCTCAAAGAAAATATTGGTTGAGAATAGTTATACCGGAAGAAGATCTCTGGAACTACAGTTAGGGCAGCGAAAGGTCACACTCGGCGGGGCGCGAGGCAGTAAAGAGCGCGGGAGAACTAACAAAGGAAAAATTAGGGGTACAAAAGTAAAAAAGCGGAGCGGTAATGCGAGGTCTCACCCGCGGTCGGCATTTCGCCCGGATTCGCGGCAGCTGCGAGCGCAATGCCGAGCCAAACAGTGCCAAACAACGGCCTCCCGCAGCACCGCGCAGAGGAAACCGCGCCAAACAGAGCCTGAGTTTATCCCTCTCAATATTTTGGTGCTTAGAATACTAGAATGAATGTTTGAAGCATATTCAATCAATCCAATCACATCTCTCTATTATATCCCACATTGATTTGGGAAAGCGTCATCGTGGGGCATGATAGGGGTATTCCATTGCATGATAAAAGAGCGAGCATGTTATGAAAGAAAGCAATATTGAAAGAGCTTAGAGAAATGGGAGATAGAACAAGATTAAGAAAAATTAGCAATATTCTAATGGAACTTAAAAGAATGTGTATAAATAAGATGAGATAATCCCAAACCTTATGAAGCTTCAAAAAATTAACAAAAATTTATGAATCTATAAACAAGGACATTAACCTTGCAGATCTCCAAGTAAATTAAACCAAACAAAATATTCATAAGTCAAAAAGAATAAACAAGGAATTTCAAATTGAAAAAATAAATAGACTTACATGATCTTTAATTCCATTCCTCTGGCGACTATGTGGGGAAATCCCAGGAACTAAAATGCACATCTCCATGTATGATCTCAATCTAGTATTACAATAAAAAAACCAGAAGTTACACAACTTTATCTAGTAATACATCAATTTACAGATAATTTCAGGAATCTCAATATTCATCATTAAATGAGCAGTACAAAGCATTAGTTTCAGCAGTCATCATGTGACAATTGAAGACTTAAAGTAAGCTTGCTTGGTTGCTATTATGCCTAGAAGTTACTTGGTAGTAGTTCAACATGAGGCCAAACTGCTTCAAAATACGCTCTCATAAAAATTGAATGAGGACATGTCAAAACAATGCTGGAACATTTGATTAAATTAGCAACTGCAAAAAGAGAATTTATGTAAAGGCCAAGTGGACCTCACCTTTTTCTCACTTCCAAGAGCTCAACAGCAGCAAATATGACAAAAAAAGTATTAAGAAAATCCACGGTTTATCTAATATTTTAGGCGTAGAAAAGTTCAAATCCTCATTAGGAAGGAATTAATTTCCTTATATTTCCTATTTTTGTTCTTCCCTATTTAGAGGGATTCCTATTTATTTCTTTATGGTATTATATGTAGTGACAGAAATGTAGTAGTTCTAGTGACAAAAATATAACTATGGGTGATCAAATTATTAAAAGGTGTGAACACTTTAAATATCTCAGGTTTATTGGTCAAATTGATAGTGATATTGATGGGGATGCTATTAGTAGAATTCAAGTTGGTTGGTTGAAGTGGAGGAATGCTTCGGGCCTATTGTGTGGCAGAAAAGTACTGCTTAGACTTAAAAGAAAATTTTATAAGATGATGGTGATACCTGCAATGCTCTACGGCGTTGAATGTTGGCCTTTAAAAGAGAAACATAAAACTAAGTCAAGTGTTGCCGAGGTGGAATGATCAGGTGGATGAGTGACTTTACACTTAAAGACAAAATGTGAATGAATATATCCGTGATAGGGTTGGTGTAGCTCCAGTGACGGACAAAATTAGAGAGAGTAGTCTTACATGGTTTCATCACATTAAATGTTGACCATCTAATGATCCTATTAGAAGAGTAGATGCTTTAGATTCGACTTATGTTAAGAAAGGCAGAGGTAGACCTAGGAAGTCTTGAGCATATTGTATAAAAAAGTTCTTAATTTATTAGAATTAAATGAAAATATGATACTAAATAGGACACTATGAAGAAAAAAGATTCATGTGGTTGACCCCACTTAGTGAGATAAAGACTTGAGATAAAGGTTTTGTTGTTGTTGTTGTTGTTGTTGTTGTTGTTATATATAGTAAAGTGTAAAACATAAAGACAAGCAAGAAATAAAATTTTATTTAAATTTCTACATAGTATCAGAGCACTAAGATCCCCCTCTTCTGCTTGAACAGACTGTGATCCCTCCTCCATGGTACGTGGCTTTGATCAACTCTTCGATTGTCTCTTCTACTTTCACTACAGAAGAAGATTAAGTTAGCATCCAAAATCAAATATTAGTGACTAATTTTAGCAGTATAGCGGCGCAAAATAAATTTTGCTATTTGTGGCATCTTTTGAGTCCACTTTACATTCAATAATTCAACGTAAAAAGTACTTTGAAAACTGTGAAGCATAAAACAAAGTTGCGACGAAATTTGCATTGAATTAGCGTCGAATAAAGCGATGCAAAAACTTTATTTAAAAGGGTCGAATTATTCAGACGCCAATAAAAAGTAAAATTCAACACAAATAACATGGCTTCCGTATTTCTTAAGCGTGTCAAAATTTTCCGACGCAAAAGAGACGGAAATCCGATGCAAAATTCGTAAAATACTACTCCCGCCTGCCAATCCTCATTTTTCTTTTCCCCACCTCTCCTTTTTCCAAAGTGTTCGCGCCTCTCCTTCTTCTCGAAGCCCTCTCTCTCCTCCCTCCCCCACCCGGTTATACTCAAAACCATTGCCGTCTTCAACGAAGCATCGTGATACAGTCGTCATTAGAGCCAGTTGGGAAGGCAGCGATGATATGTGGCTTAAAGAGACCACCGAGACTCCCGTATTTCTCATCCTTTGGCTTCACTCAAATCAGAATACATTGAGGATGGTATGTATCCTACTTTAACTATGTATATACCAAATTAGGGGTAAGTAATTTAGAGATTGGCTTTAAATTTAAGTTCCTAATTTGTTGCTTCAGTTATGAATATTCTTATTGGGCATTTACAAGAGGATGTACCATAGTGTATGCTTTTTGCTGATGATATTGTTCTTGTGGATAACACTACAAAGAGTTTAGAAAAAACTTGAATTATAAAGATCCGCCATAGAGTTTAAATGCTTTCATTTGAGTAGATCTAAAACAAAATACATTAAATACAATTTTAGTAGTGGTGGATCTAGTGGCGCGGTTATAACAATCGCTGATCAAGTCATTAGAAAAAATGAACAATTTAGATATGTTGGGTCAACGGTTGAAAATGATGGTAATACAGATGGGGATGTTATTGGTAAAATTCAAATTGGATGGTTGAAGTGAAGGAATGCATAAGACCTACTATGTGATAGAAAAGTATCACTTAGGCCTAAACCTAAATTTTATAAGACAGCGGTGAGGCTTGCAATATTTTATGGTGTAGAATGTTAGCCTACAAAAAAGACAAAAAAGTAAGTTTAGACTTGTGTTAAGGTGGGTGAGTGGCTTTATACTTAGAGACAAAACTCGAAAAGAATATATCCATGAAACGGTTGGAATAGCTCCAATATATAGTAGAATAATGAAAGTATGACACTCAATAGGACACAATGGAGAAAAATGATTCATTTAGCCAACCCCACTGAGATTGGGATAAAGGTTTGTTGTTGTTGTATGTAAGAAATTTATGGAAGGAAGAAAACTCAATAAAGGTTTTATGAATTTGCACCTTGAGTTGTTAGAATTGTAGCATATTTAGTTAGGAAGATAGTCAACCTAGCCTAACATAAAGTGTTTTTGCAGTAAGCATGAGCTAAAAAAAATAATCCCCATACTCTTATGTGATAAGAGGAAAGGATTATAGGACTTTTTTAACATGGAAGAAGATGGCTATAGAAGATAGGGACATTGACATACATATTTGAACTTAAATGTGCATACACGAAAACTTAAATTTTCATATTTATATCGCCCAAGTTTTTTATTTTTATTTTGCGTAATAGTTTCACTGACCTGTAAAATTACATATATGTTGCAGATGGATATTCAAAATTTGAGAGCTTGGATATATAATATATTATATCCAGAAAGAAAATGACTCACAAATGAGTTCTTGAATAGTGTTAAAAAATTCGTGCATATTGCATCACAGGAGTCCATTTATCGTTTTGAAGATAAGTTTCGCGTCCCTACGCGAAACACAAAAATCAAGCATATCTGCGACCCGAAGAAGTTAAATTGGATCTTTACCGCAAGAAAACCAAATTATTGGTACTGGATTGCACATGATGAGCAAGAAGCAGAAATTCAGGTGCCTTAACGAGCTATGTCCCTCTAGCAGAGGAGTATGATCCCAACACATACGATGAAATGGTTCATGATGCTCAAAGAGCTTATTTGGTTGAGAGTTCCACAAGAAAGTAAAACACCAAACAATGAATCACAACAACTTTATGGCTTGCTGAACATTTCACAACAATATTTATGGATAGTTGCACAACACACACAGAGTTAACAGTAGCGATGCAAACGTTGGACATCAAATCTGATTTTAACATGCCCAGAGAAACATTTAATCAAGTGACAACATTATTAAAAGAGACGAATCCTGCAGAGAATTTAGTGTCAGATGACTTGTACAAAACTAAAAAGTTAGTTTCAAAATTAGAGATATAATATGAGAAGATTGATTGCTATGTTAATGTCCACATGATATATTACAAGGTCGATGCAATCAGGACGATTTGCCGATTTTGTGGTGCAGATAGATTCAAACAAAGAGGGGAGAAATAGTAAAAATTACAAAAAATATTCAGTATAAGCATCTCTTTTATTTTCCACTGATACCCCGGCTACAGATATTGTTCGTATTCATGCATACAACTCCTTACATGACTTGGCACAGTACTGGATCCGTTGATGCTTGGAGACATTATGATCGTATTTACTCTGACAATAAAGCTGAAGCACACAATGTTAGACTCGGGTTATGTTCAGATGTTTTCACCCCATACAATCACACCACAACCTCGTCTTCATGCTGACTAATGGTCATTACATCATACAATTTACCCCCTGATATGTGCATATGACTGTGTCATTCTTATTTCTGACGTTGATCATACCAGACCCACATAGCCCAAAGGGGAAATTGACATCTACTTGCAACCTTTGATTGAAAACCTTCAAATGTTATGGGAGACTGGTGTGCTTACATATGACATCGCTAAGAAAGAGAATTTCCAACTGAAAACAGCTCTTATGTGAACAACTAGTGATTTCCCAACCTATGGAATGCTAGTTGGTTGGAGCACAACCGAAGAAATTGGTTTGTCCTTACTGCATGGATATGTCGAAGATACTCTGAAACATAGTAGGAAAACAGCTGGTTCAATTGCCACCGAAGAGTTCGCACCGCAATTAGCCATTTCGAATGAACATGATGCATTCTTCAAAAGTAGGGTTGAGAGATAAAGTAAACTCAATGTAAACTACCTTCGTGATGCAGATTTTTAAATAAAATTTACAAAAAGGGTAAAAAATAAAGCATATCCAAAGGGATCGATCTGAGACGTATACTTGCTACAGAAGACAATTAGTTTGAGCTCCTACTATTTTGAGCAAGAACATCACATAGATCGTAATGTGGGTGACTTGCCTTCAAAGATAGAATTATCAATATTTCAAATATCAGGGAAGCAATCAAGGAGGCATGGTACACGATCTCTAAGTGATAAATAGATTTAGTCAGTTGCATTATATGTCCTAATGAATTGTGATGAAGTCCAGACATTTCTACAGTAAGAATCATGGTGCCCAAAGTCAATATTATTATTTACTATTGAGAATGTTTTATACATATTAATAACAATGATGTCAGAAAATTG